AAAGAGATGAAGAGAGAGAAAGAAAGAAAGAGAAGAGAGAGAGAGAGTTAGAGAGAGAAAGAGAAGAGAGAGAGAGTAAGAGAGAGAAAGAGAAGAGAGATTGGGGGGAGTGGGGATGGACGGCTGGCTGATAGAAGTTGTTGGGGGAAGAAAAAAAAGGTAGGGTTTAGGGTTTTAAATTGTAATTAAAAGGTCAAAATGGGTATTTTGATTTGTCTAGGGGGGTCTATCAAATTAAGATTAGAATTTGGGTTTTTGACTAGAAAAAAAAAATCCATAGGACCTATCCCTATATATTTTCAAAATTAGGGGGTTATCCCACATTTCCCCTAAATAAAAATTAAAATATAACCGTCAACTTTGTCAAAAAATTGAGTACAAAATGAAAATACAAAAACAAACTTCCTTATTTCATGGTCACCAATAATAAACTGAATAACTACATTATAAATACATTTAATTTTTTTTTAAAAAAAAAGCACAAGAAAGAGTAAAATTATCACGATCTTTCTTTAACTGCTCCACATTTCTAATTCATATGACACCCACGATCTTCATAAACCTCTACAAGAACACGATCTCATCTCAATTCTCAATATAAAAAACCTCCCGTTCATCATCACACATCAACCTCCGTACAAATTTATGGATTCCCTGTGAGATTCCATAAATGAAAAATTGCATACATATTTCACTCTAATCTTTTTTTATTATTGTATTTACATTGTTTTTAAACATTGTTAGTACTGTATGTATGTAATCATCATGTATATAATTTCATATAATTTGCATTAATATGTTACTGTCGGAAAGGGCTGAGGTGGATTTATGGTTTGCAACATATAGTGCCACTCAGTCTTCAATGAAGACTCTTCATCTGATTTCTGCTAAGTATGCATTTCAAGTATTTTTTTTTTCATTCCATATAGGTTTTATGTAACACCTCATTCATGATTGTGTAATTAACTTATTAATAATTTAATTGTATATTCCCTGAGGCAACAAACTTAAACGTGCGTTGTGATGCATGTGCTGATGAAGTAGGAATTTACCTGGGCAATCACGATGCACAAGGTCATCGCGTATAATTAGTTTACGATTATGTAAACTAACTCACAATACGTACTCATGTATAATTTTGAGGTATATCTTTTTATTTTACTATTCTGTACAATTATGCAACAATAATGAGGTATCTCTTCTTCATGAAGAATCTTTCACGGAAACAATTTTGACTTTTGGAAGGCGGCATCAACGAGTTTATAACATTGAGATGTTTTAATCGATGAGAAGTAACGAATGATTGCTCATATATCTGGCATTTATCGTTTTAACATTAAATTTATATTTTTATATTCGAAAAGAACTCGATTCATTTAGAATTATGTTTGCCAAAT